AAAATTTACATTACAGCGGACAAATAACGTCATACATTTAACACATACATTGCATTTGTAAAACGGCTGTGGATTATTTTTACATAGTGCTAACAGTGTAGAAGGCAACCAACAACAGGTGATTATGCAAATCGACTGTACATTCAACCCTAGAGTTTTTTAGCGCTTACATTTTGTTTCACATGTTCAGAGGGACTTCAGAATAAGTAAACACAGCTATGAAATTGCGCGACCGTTTACAGTAATCGAAATGTACACCGACCAGACGGTACTGCCCATTTATTTGCTCTAAGAGAAACGAATACATTGACAGTGTTGCTTTCTGTCTTTTCAAAACGGAGAAAAAATTAATGCCCCGTTTCGAAAAGATCAAGTACAATATGATAATGTAATTTTGAAGACTAAATCAACAAGTGTATTCGTTAAGACGTGTTTACAATTAAAATAAACGAGACAAAGAATTTTGTAGTAAATAAAAAACTTAATGGTCTTAGGCCGGACTAATAAGGAGTAATTCTATTTAAACAACTTTTCTTAGCGCTCAATCAAAAGCAAAAAGTTAGCTTGGAATATATTTATGTTTTGCGCAAAGATTGCTTTTAGCATTTAAGTATTAAATAAACACAAATCAACAAAGCGTAACTCGATTCCCTTAGGGCCGCCGCAACAGGAGGTACACATTTAACCCTTTTTTTATTTAAATGAAGGGTAGATTAATTAACCAAATATTATTTACATTTTTACTCAGGTATTCGTTAACACAGAGAAGTGATTTTTAATTTAATAAATTTGTACCGTGCATTTACTTTTTAATAAAAATAGCTTTACGAGGTAGGTATAACCTACAGAGAGTACAAACAATTAAAATATTTTATTCTAAATAGATATATTATTATCGAATAGCGGGTGAAAATGAGAGGATTCGTTTGAATTTTAAAGGTACGCACTACAAAGGCTTAGTCTAGAAGTTACTAGACTTGACTAATTCGACTAGAAGTCTAATTAGATACTTCATTATTCTAACGGTAGTTAATTTTATCAAACCGACACAATTAAATGTATGGGATAAAAAATACTCGTGGACCGGGACAACAATAGATTGACTCGATTCTACTAAGTCTACGCGGGACAGCACATCACCGTCCCGACTGGAAATTCGAGTAATTTCTTCAAACGAGCGACAAACAAAATGTCTACTAATGATGCGCCTAGACAATTTAAGCGTTTGTCACAACATAATATACGGACAAGTTTACACGGACACGAAGCATTTTACGACGGGACGCGAAGAACGGCACATTCGACAATATTTCAATCGATTATTGCCGAACTTCCGTTACCAATGAAGTTTACGATGCAAATTATAAAACTGAAAAAAGGACGCACTCTGTGATATATGAACGGGACCGTTCATTAGTATGCACGGACAGACGCAACAACACGCACGGCCGACGTCGAGCCGGTGTCCAGGATGTGTGTCACCTGCATACACATGGAATAGGCAGACCAATATAATGTATTCTACAATAGCCGACATTATTATTAACGAGTGCGCACACTAGCGTTTAATAGTATACGGGTGACAAGTCAACGTGCTAGACGTATAATATTATGATATTATTAACACAGCAATAGCACGTAACTCGCGACAATGTCGGCTAGTGGAAACGCCGCATTACTTCGGAAGGCGACTTACTGTGCTACTCCGTCTCACTCCCGCCGAGTCAAAGTCATTAAGCGTTTCATTGTTTAGTTGAGCTCGCTTGTTAGCGCCATCGTCAATTTTTTAACTATTTCAATTTATAATAACTGTATTTGAAAATCAAAAATTAACAATAAAACACCTTACTTGCGAGTAATAACTTTAAGTGTCGGTCCATTAAAAAGAACTTTTGTGTTCATATTTCTTTAAACGCACATTACATACTCCAATTATGATTGATAACAGATTATATCGGATATTTATTTTAATTTGATTTATAAAATAACATTTTTGAACCACAACAAAAATTAATATACGTTATTCATCACGTTAGAAAAGCTTTTTGATTATTCGATATAAATTTCTATCCATAAATTTAAAACGTTTAAAAAATTGTCCTGAAAAATCGATATCATAAATTTTACGCTTATAACAAATTGTATACAATTATAAACATATATCAAAACGCTAATTAACTAATTGTAAACTCAAATTATAAATTAAAATGTTTACGCTTTAAAAATGTGGGCAAACAATGTAAATAAAAATATTTCAACTCCCCGGAGTCTTTCTGCATACAAAATATAATTGCCAGTAAAAATAACAATCAAAATACACTATAAAGGTTTCGAAAACAAATCAACGAGATAGAATTCCATCGGATAGAGACAATAGTTAAAACTAACGTTGGACAGTTAACGTTTAACGACGCGAATGTGCTCTTTGTTTTACACTTATAATACATTAACAATTGAAAACAAAACAAGACATACCCATCACATTTACGCCGTCCAAATTAAATACCAATAATTGAAGTACGTTATGGAATACAATCTTTAAAAAATAAGGTCAGATAAGTGTACAGAAATAACAGGATGTGATTTTCTGCCTGTAAAGATAATTGATCACTAATAATATTTAGAGCTACACAAAATTTAGTTATGTTTTACTTGAAAATCGACTATTTTAAAACCGCTGAAAATTATTATTATGACATTCTTACTTAAAAAAATTAAACAGATAACATGAGTTATATGAATAAAATAAGAGGGTCTGTCACAAACAGGATTCGGTTTACAATTGCGTGCACTTTAGCAAAAATTGGTTTATGTAGAAAATAAAAGCCATCAAGGTGAATTATTTTGGAATAAATGTAAAAAAAAAATGGTTCATTATCCATAATGAACCAAAGCCTCAAAAATATAAAATTGTATTCAATTCAGCAATAATGATTTTAAAAAATCAATGAACTTGAAAGAATTCATGGCACAATATAAGATTATTATACAATGTAAGATTATTAAAAATCAGTATTTCGACAACTATAACTAAATAGGCAGCAATTTCAAAAGTAACTCGTCTACTCGCTTTGAATAACATAATAGAATACATAAATCCGTCATATTTATGTAAAAGTAATAAGGAAAACATTTTTTGGCTAGAATTTCATAAATATAATATATATTATATAATAAAAATTTTAATTTAACTATGATACGCATTACATTTCGACATTGCACAATGATTGGAAACCACAGAGGGATACGTTTGAACTATTTTGTGATTTTAAAAGTATTGAAATAATTTATTACATTTGAGATATATAGAATAATAGTGTAGTTTATTTTTAACGTAATTGTATTTATTTATAACAAGTTTCGACGGAAAAAATAATAAAATGATTAAATTCAACACATGGAAGAATGAAAACAAAAAAGGTTGAAATATGTTATAAATATTGAATTCCTCATTCGAAAGTGAACAGAAGCAGAAAATTAAACGCTGAAAAAGTTATTAATACTAACATTTTTTTATGTACTAAATAATCTATTAAATAAATTTCCAATGCATAAGATTAACTTATAAATCAATAGGCGTAACATTGGATGAAAGAATAAATATATATTTTGTTATAAGATCTAAAAATGACTTTATACGTTTGTTTATTAATTTGAATTATCTAACGATATAATATTAAAAAAACTGTATATTTACAACTGAAGCTCAGTTATTAGTTACATTAGTATCAATAAATTAATAAGAGAAGTGTATTTTTTTAACTTTAGGTGTCATGTTTACGATATTCCTTAGATTAAACTTTATGATGATAATTTTTTTTGATTTGCGTTTTTTAGTAAAAGCACATACACATATAATATTTATGGTATAATGTTCATGTTTAGATTCATAGAGAAATTATGAATATTACTACTATATAATATTATAATGTTTAGACCAAAAACGAAGCTAAAATTAAATACAATTTTTTAATAAAAACTGATTTATGTATTATTTCGTAATTATATACTTCGGGTATATTTAAAAAGTATAACGATTTTCTTTAAGTAACAAAATTATTATAATATTATTATTGATATTTATTCCTAATTTCATTATGTATCTATAAAAGGAGAACTCAAAACAACACGGAAAGAAAATCAAGTTATTATTAGGTGTTATGACAAAAATAGCAAATTAAATTTACAAAGAATGAAAGCAAATTATAACGAGCAAAATCAGTTGAGGACACGCACAAGCCCACTAAATTAATGGTTAATGTAATTTAATATTTGTACATGAATGTAATAGTGTAATATAAATACGGTAAATAATTTCCATTAAATTATGAATACGATAACTATTCCAACGAACATACTAAGTAAATAAATTTTACAAAGGGAATACCTCTTAGTTAAAGCAGTAAATATTAATAGTTATTGACGTTGCGTTTAGCATGTATTAATTCTATTTGTAAAATTCCACGGTAAACTTCGATACTCACAAAACAGACGTCATGAGATTTAATGATGAAATATAAAACAGTGTTGTCAAATAATCACTAGCGGTTTCTTATCATTAATGATAAATATTATTCATGATGATTAATTGTCACCGTAACGATCGAGTATACTAGTCGGCAAACGAAAATAATATTGCACTCGAGAAAAATTACCCTAATTTCCCATACAAACAAGATTAACAACAACCAACAATATAAATATATCCATAGCGAGTTTTGTATAACACTAGGAGGCGAATACGGTTTTTCCAGATAATCTTGTATTTTTGGATTTGACCTTAACGAATGAAAAATAAAGCCTCCCCGTCCAAGACAAGGCAGTTATTCTCGGTGAAATCACGACGTGCCTATTTAAAATGTGACATTGGCGAGTCCGGATTTTTATAACGACACGACAATTATAGTTATTCCCACAACAATTAAACGAATTAATCAAAGTTGACACGGTGAAAATCACGTGGCAACACTACCGACGGTTTAAGATAAAGTAACACTCACCAGGGGAGGCGTACGGCATGTCAGTGTAGTTGGAGCGGAGGCGATGTCGAGTTTTCGCAATGATCGAGCGAATCTTAACGCTCCTCGAGGAATTGTAGTTATCGATGGTAGCGATCGATAATGAACTTGTAGCGGAGAAAATGAAAAAACAGACTCAAAAAAATTAATAATAATAATAATAACAAAAAAACAAAACACGACAACGGGACACAATTATGAGCGTGTGTTTAGTTAAAACCAAATTACTCGGAAATTCAAAGATATCCTTGGGTAGGATAAAAAGTAATATTAACTTGTAATACTATTCGATCGTTAGAGGCGAGTAACGTTGTAACTAAAAAACAATTATTAACATAACAAAAGGAAAAAAGGAGGAACAAAAATCAATCGGATTGCGGCTACAAGAACACGAAACACATACGGACACGCAGAACGACACACGAAACTAACGGCTACTTGTACACGTACTGCGGCGGACACCGATATGAATACGCGTAACAGTAACGTACCGACTCGCACACGCACTCGGTTTAACACACTGGACGCCGCGCGAATAGACGAGACGAGCACATACAACGAGTATTTAACGTTTTAAACAATCACAACAAACGAAAATACACACTCGGTGCAGTCAACGTCCACTGCCATTAGCCGATTTGCTAATGGGCATCGACACCACTCCGCACGACGACACTTGTTCTATATCTATATGGCCTATTACCCTCTCGTCCATTTCCCTTCTCATTCTGTCTCTCTCGTTTGCGTATCCAGTGATAACATGTCTATCACAACGTACGTCGGTCGAGTGCAACGGCACGTCGAACGCTTAAAATGACACACACGCTTACATCGTATAATTATTACGCTTTCAGTTTTGTCAACGATAACAGACAATTGATAACTCGCAGATTATTAAGATTGCTTACGTTTAACTGAATAAGATTTTAACAGACTGACAAAGTGTCAAATATCCGTGCAAATAACAACCCTCTAAAAGTGTCATTATTGCGCCATCTCATTCTTTACCATCAAAATGGCCATTTATGTAGTGTAAAACTGTGTTCGCTGTCTTATTGTACTTGTAGCACACAGAGTTGGACTGGTCACGGTGGCAAAGAGGCAATAATAACAGAGCAATGAGAGCAGCCATAATCCGTTTTGTAGAATTAATTTTTAAACATTTTTTTTTTTTGTTCATTCTCATGGCGATAGAAAATTTTTTTGGCGCGAGCTGGGCCGTCACAGTTATTGTGTCCCTTGGCCATTGGTCTTCCAGTCCGCCTCTTATAGTATCTGTACACATGCGTATGTATTAATTGTAAAATTCCGAGTAAAAATAAACAAATAGAACAAGTAACGCCTAAAGACTTTTCATAATCGATTAAAAATTGGTCAACCATTTTGCGTTAGAAAATCTCGTTCTAATATAATAAAAATTTATCAACGACCTATAAAAAGCCGATCTGGCTTCTATACAACTTTCAGGGATCCGAAATTATTTCAGTTTTTCGAAAATTTTTATCATATCCTCCATGAAACCACCTGTGTCTGACGAAAACATCCTCTGATCATGGAAATTCTTTAGGCTCAGTTTTTTATAAAACCCATTTAAACCTAACCACTATTAAACGGAAACGTTTTCATAACGGAAAAAAGTTCAACCCCCAGGAATTCCACTGAATAAAAATTTCAGTGTAATAAGCATGATGAAATAAATATCATTACTTTATATGGAAAAATATATTGTTGATTACATATTGTCTATAATATCTGTTTGTGTTCACAAAACATATACAAAATAGCTAGAATTTTATTTTACATTATAATAAACAACAGTTTCAACAAATAGTTAAAATAGTTAGAGAATTTTCTTAGTTTGTTTAATATTGAATATTTATTTAAAAAATGTGTTTTCAGTCAAACTATTCAAATTCAATTATAACTTAACTAAATTTGAAAAAGTAAACCGTTTCCTATTATACTAATATTAATGTAGCCAATATTGCGATAAATAAANCGTTTCCTATTATACTAATATTAATGTAGCCAATATTGCGATAAATAAAATGAAAAATAGCAGATGATCAACTTCATTTTTTAAAATGATCCATTGGATATTATGATTACATTAACCTATGATTCAAAACGTTATATGACATTTAATGGTACAATGTTTTTAATGTCTTTTTATGTTTAATAGTACATTATTTTTATAAAAATAACAGTAGTTTACGTTTTTGATATAATTTATTTTTCATTTTTTGTCAAACGTTTTTTTTTCATATTTATTCCAGT